TCTCTCTCTCTCTCTCTCTCTCTCTCTCTCCTCTCTCTCTCTCGCTCTCTCTCTCTCTCCCTCTCCTCTCTCTCTCTCTCATCTCTCCTCTGCTCTCTCCTTCTCATCCCTCTCCTCCTCCCGCTCCTCTCTTGCTCTCCTCTCCCCTCTCTATCGATCTCTCTCTCTCTTCTCTCTCTCTGTCTCTCTCTCAGTCTCTGTTCTCTGTCTGTCTGTCTGTCTTCTCTCTCTCTCTCCTCTCACTCTCTCTCTCTATCTCTCTCTCTCTCTCGCTCTCTCTCTCTCTCTCTCTCTCTCTACTCTACATGTCTGCTCTCTCTCAGTCTCTGTCTCTCATCTCGAGTCCTCTGTTCTTGTTGGGGTGCTCTCTCTCTTCTCTCTGTCTCTCGCTCTCTTCTCTGTCTCTCTCTCTCTCTCTCTCTCCTCTCTCTCTCTCTCCTCTCTCTCTCTGTCTCTCTCTCTCTCTCTCTGTCTGCTCTCTCTCAGTCTCTGTCTCTCTCTCAGTCTCTCGTCTCTGTCTGCTCTCTCTCTCTCTCTCAGTCTCTCTCTCTCTCTCTGTCTCCCTCTCTCTCTCTCTCTCTCTCCTCCTCTCTCTCTCTCTCTCTCTCTCTCTCCTCTCTCTCCCTCTCTCTCTCTCTCTCCCTCTCCTCTCTCTCTCCCTCTCTCTCTCTCCCTCCTCTCTCTCTCTCTCTCTCTCTCTCCCTCTCTCTCCTCTCTCTCTCTCTCTCTCTCTCTCTCTCCTCTCTCTCTCTCTCTCTCTCTCTCTCTCTCTCTCTCTTCTCTCTCTCTCTCTCTCTCTCCCTCTCACTCTCCCCCTCTCTCCTCTCCCTCTCCCTCTCCCTCTCCCTCTCCCTCTCCCTCTCTCTCTTTCTCCCTCTCCCTCCCTCCTTATCTCCCTCTCCCCCTTCCATTTTTTCAGCCACGACTTTTTCCCTTCAAACAAACATGGCTCCGGTTTCCGTTCTGGGCTGTGTTGTTTGGTAGAGGAGGAAAAAGAGGAAGAGGGGAAGGAGGAGGAGGAGGAGGAGGAGGAGGAAGAAGAAGAGAGGAAGGAGGAGGAGGAGGAGGAGGAGGAGGAGGAAAAAGAGGAAGAGGGGAAGGAGGAGAGGAGGAGGAGGAGGAGGAGGAGGAGGAAGAAGAAGAAGAAGAAGAAGAAGAAGAGAGGAAGGAGGAGGAGGAGGAGGAGGAGGAGGAGGAGGAGGAGGAGGAGGAGGAGGAGGAAGAAGAAGAGAGGAAGGAGGAGGAGGAGGAGGAGGAGGAGGAGGAGGAGGAGGAGGAGGAGGAGGAGGAGGAGGAGGAGGGGTGGGGGAAGAAAGAGGAAGTGAAAAAAGAGGTGAAAAAATAGGATTAGGAGGAGGAAGAAAAAGAGGAAGAGGAGGAGGAGAAGGAGAAGGAGAAGGAGATGGTGGATGAATAGATGTATGAGGAAGAAGAACAAGAAGGGATGAAAAGAAGGAACTTTAGGAAACTGAGAAGAAAGTAGGAAGAGGAAAAAGAGGAGGAGGAGGTGAAACAGAAGGAAAACATTTCAATAAGTTACAGGCATCAGAATATTTTTTACTAATTTCTAAATCAAAATATCAATTTCATGTCAAGAAGGTTTAGACGGAACGAAAGATTAGGGAAGGGAAAGAAAAGGAAGAGAAATTAGGAATGATAAAAAGGTAGACTTCAAAGAGAAAACCAGGAATAACAAGAACAAAACAAGGATAATAATAATCATAATAATTACAATAATAGTAATAGTGATAATAATAATAATGATAATAATAATAATAATAAAAATGATAGTAATAATAATAATGATAATAATAATTATAATAATAATAATGATAATAATAATAATAGTAATAGTAATAATGATAGTAATAATAATAATGTTAATGCTAATGCTAATGCTAATAATAATAATAACAATAATAACAAAAATAATGATACATGCAACCAAAAATGAAACAATGTAAAGAAAGAAAAAAAATCCTCTCCTTCCTCAATCAATCATGAAATAAATGAATAAACAAAGTGAGAATAAATAAAAATGAATGAAAAGATAAAACATTTAAAAAAATAAATAAAAATTTAGATAAATAAAAAAAAACAATGATAAAGTAAAGATGAATAAATAAAAAATATATACAATAGAATAAGGATAAATAAATTAACAAATAGATAGAATAGAATACAGACCTAAATGAACTGATAAATAAAAGGAGATATGAATAATCAGAGAGCCATCGCCCTCCGCCGCCGCCGCTGAGTGAGCCTCATTAAGGCGCAGGCAGGCGGTAATTAAAGACAATTAATGACAAAGTGCAATTAGGGAAAGTTGAAACTAAACCTCACTAATGGGATTCTTTGTGTTGTGATCTTTTAGTTTTTATCTGTCTGTCTGTCTGTCTATCTTTTTTCTTTTTCTTTCTTTTTTTTCTCATATATTTCTTTCGTTTCTTTTTTCTGGTATTTTTTTTCTTTCCTTTTTTCTTTTATACACACACACACA